AAAAAAAAAAAAAAAAAAAAAAAAAAAAAAAAGTCAAAAAGACCATTAATTTCCCACAATCTCCGTTTTCATAAAAATCAAAAAAAAAAAAAAAAGGAGGTAAATGGCGCACATTAGTGGCATGAAATTAATCTGACTCAGGGAAAACTTACCAGTTTTTCCAAAGCCGTCTATAAGGTTTTGTAAAATAATAAAAACTGAAAAATGAATGCTAAAAAATTTACTAGACCTTACCCGTGTCCGTAGCAGCCATTTGCAAAACAGATGAAAAAAACGGGGCAGATTAGAAACTCCAAAAGTGAAGTCCCTGAAAATTTGCCAAATCAGCCATTAAACTTCCCATAACGACTACCCGGTATTGTTGTAGTTAATCCGAGTAAAAAAACCTGGACAGATAAGTGACTAAAATTTATTTGCTATCATCAAGAATTACAGAAGAAAAAAAAGTGTAAAAAAGTTATTCTCCATTCAAACTAAACTACAAACTAATCACATGCATTTGAAAGCTGCAAAAAATAACAAAAAACCGAAAACCTTTATATGATATATAACCGGGACAAAAAAAAACTACTAAGAACTTACTAGAAATGAAGATAAAGAAAAAGATAAAAAAAACACACACACTGCAGATAATTGGAAAAACATAGAAAAATTTTGCACCAAATTAAAACAAGAAAAAAAAACGAAAATCAACAACCCCAGATTAGAATTTGATTTAAATTAACCTTCTAATGTTCTATGCGATAAAACTTTCAAAGTCTCTGTACTGCCAGTGGTGCATTTCACCAAACCTTTTTACACTGTGGGAAACAACTTCAAATTATCTTTATTTTGCAGCTAAATTTCGACAAAAAAAAAAATTAATTTCAAGTTTTAAAGCTTCAAATAAATTTTTGTCCAAAAAAAACAAACAGTTTTTTATAGCTTCCGCCCAACAACAACCGATTTTCTTTTTACAATTAACTCGTACCTGTATACTTGTCTGTGTACAGCTATATCTCTTTATGCATGTAACATTATGCAACGACCATCGTAACGAAAATGCAGACTACCGTACCCGTTTTGGCAATATTCCAAAGATTTTGAGTATGTATCCAAATGAGTAATTGTGGATAGTAAATATCAAATAAAAAAAAAACAAGAAAGAAAATGAAAGTTATTAAAAAAATCTTTTTTTTTTTTTTTGTACTATTTTTAGGTGTTTCTGCAGCAGTGGTGCCGCAAAAAAATATCACTCTGCACAGCTGGTTAAATATCCCTTCTAGACAAATTTTTTTTTTTTTGCCTAATCAATTAACACCATTGAAAACAAAAGAAGATAAGAGAAAGAGGAAATTAGAATCGATATTGTCGAGGAATCAGAAAAGAAAAAGAAGATAAAGAACGTGTAGTTTGAGTGATATATACTCTTCTGTCAAATGGTATTTTCAATCAACAACTAATTCAGACCTGTTATATAGTGCCAACAAATTAGTGGTTGCCAGTATTTGGTAACATCTTAATACTGGTTTAAAAAGTAAGAACAGTGATATATTTAAATACGCCCTAAATACTTGAACCATGATAATTTGAGTCCAAAAATGTTTGTTTGTGATGTGCATCTTCCAATTATAGTTTCCTGAATCACTTACGAATGTATCATTTCCGGCTTTGAGCCAAAAAATGCCAGCTTTAAATAGAATGTCTAGGCTTGTCAGTTGTGGACAAGTTGTACGTCTTTTTGAAATATCCCAAGGGACGACTTGAAGCGCAGTGTGTTATTTCATGTCCTTTTTTTTTCACCACAGACGTTTTGCATCGGACAGTCGTCTCGTGCAGTCTTAACACCAAGTTATCATCAGTGCTTGTAAAAGGCACCTTTTTTTTGTTTCAGCTGCAGCAGTCTGATTATTCATACTGAAAATGTAATATAGACATGAGAAGAAAAACGACATTTTTTACAAGTTTTTTTTTTTTTTTT